CTCCTCTCTGGCACTTTCTCCCCCCCGCCCCGGCCCCCCGCCAGTCGCGTCCCTCCTCCCGCCCCGCTCACTCTCGCACACCTGCCCCTGCCGCCCGCACGCCGCGCGCTCCCCTCCCCGCCGAGGCGGCCGCTGCCTGGGAAGCCCCCTCTCCCCTCCCCTCCTCACCCTCCCCGGCGCGCCTGGCGGCGGCCGGCCCTAACCCTCGCGCGGCGCCCTGTTATTCTCGGTATTGTGTGTAATAAATGTCGGGCCGCCTCACTCTAATCAAGCTCATTACAAATTCTTGCGCGCCCGGGGCCGGAAATCGTGCGCTCCCCCCCCACCCCTTCCCTCACTCATTCACTAGTTACTTGTCTTTCTGCTTTTTAACTCGCCGCCCCCGCCCCCTCCCCCAATCCCGGCCCTCCAGCCCGGGTTTTAATCCCCATCCCTTTTCCGCCTTCTCCTTGCACCCTGCCCCCCCCGCGCCGCCTTCCTCCTCCGCTCCGCACCCCCTTCCTCCTCCTCTCCCTCCCCCCTCCTCCTCCGCCGCCGCCGCCACTTTCTCGCTCGCTCCCGCTCCCCGGACGCGGCGGATGAGCCGGCCCCGCTGGGGAAGGGCTCGGGGCGGCGGCGGGCGGCCGGGAGGAGGCTGCGTGCTCGGGGCTGGGGCTGCGAGCGGGGTGATTTTGTATTAAAATGAGGAGGAGGAAGAAGAGGCAGCCACAGCGGCGGCGGCGGCGGCAGCAGCAGCAGCAGCAGCAGCAGCAGCAGCAGCAGGAACGGCGGCGTAGAGGGCTGCAGCCCGGGCGGACGCGCGGAGCCGAGCTGGGCACGGCGGCGGCGGCGACAGCGGCCGGGATGAGTCAACTAATAATTTAATGGGGGCAGAGACGGCAGCGCGGGGGAGAGCGAGCGAGAGCAAGCGAGGGAGAGAGAGAGAGAGAAGCAGCCCCGTCCGGGGACTCGCGCTCATACGCACGCACACACACACAAACACACACACACACCTCTCCCTGTGCCACCCAGCAACAACCGGCCTCGTCACAACAACAGCAACAGCCGCCCGCTAGCCCGGCCCGGGGACCGAGCATAAAGCCGGGGCGACTCCAGAGGACGCTTCCCACCCCCTCTTGCATTTCGGGAAACTCCTCATCAGTTTTGTTGGGGTTTCTGGGTTTCTTTTCCCCCCAAATCCCAGTGCCATTGTGGTGCTCGTTGTTTACCTCGGACTCTGGCTGTAGTGAGAGCTTGGCGACTTTTTGGGGGGAGGGGGCGGGGAGTTTGTCGCTGCTGAGGCGGTGGAGGTGGCTGGGGGTGCCTTCTGATTCTCTCCCCCTCCCCCCAAACCCTCTTTCTCTCTCCCTACTCACTCGGCTTCCCAGGCGCTCGCAGCCCCGCGTCAATGGGCTGGGAGAGGGTCCTCGGGGCTGCTATCAGCGAGGGCCGAATCAAAAGTGGCATTTCAGTGCCTTTCCGGGGCTCTTTCCGCGACCTTCTGCCCCCCACCCTCGCTGTCCCCCGGTAGATGCCCTCGTTGGGGGTGCAGGGCTGTGGGAAGAAAGTTTAAGGTTTGTTAATAATTGGTCGCAATTGTTGGGGAGGGGGTGGGGGCGATTGGAAGAGAGGTGAGGTTGCCTTCCCCTCTCTGCGTTCTCCGGGGTTATTAGAGAATAATATTGCAAGTGACAGCCAGAAGTAGACTTTCTGTCCTCACACCGAAGAACCCGAGCGAGCAGGAGGGAGGGAGGGAAGCGAGGGGACCTTTTTTTCCTTTCTGGAGACCTTGTCCGCAGTGATTTTTTTTTTTCTTTTTAAAAGAGAATCCTCAGTCACCACCTCGCTTCCCCAGCACTACCACAGTGTACAGCTCATAACGGGTTTTGCTTTGTTTTTACGATTTTCCCCCCAACGAATCACTTGTCAGATCAATTTTATCTTCTCCCTCCTCCCTACTTCCCACTCTCCCCTCCTCCCCCATCGAAAACCCCGTTCTCTGAGGTTAGACATTTTACAAACCATATATGTTGTTTTTCGAATTGTGATTTTTTTTTTTTAAACCCCCTCTCCCATGGCTACTCTTCTAGACATTTACTTCTGCCCTTCCCCCGCTTAGGGGGGCGGGGGTGGGGGAAGAGAAAATAATACAATTTCAGGGGAAGTCGCCTTCAGGTCTGCTGCTTTTTTTTTTTTTTAATTAAAAAAAAAAAAGGACATAGAAAACATCAGTCTTGAACTTCTCTTCAAGAACCCGGGCTGCAAAGGAAATCTCCTTTGTTTTTGTTATTTATATGCTGTCAAGTTTTGAAGTGGTGAGTTTCAGGTCGGTTTTGCTAATTTCACTCAGTAAAACTGCAGTGTTTCTGTTTCTAGATAGTACTTTGCTTCTTTGTCTCTTTAAAAGGTCACAGTGAAAGCTTGGCCTGGATCGTGCCGGCCATATGGAATGGATAAGGGCACAATCTCTTAAAATATGATTATGGGGTTCTTTGGGGGGCGAATGAGGCGATCCAACAAGGAACTCGTTGAAAAAGATCCCACGTTGCAAAAAATAGGTTGTTGAAACCGGAATTTCGTGTTTTTCTTTTTCTTTTTGGAGGAAATAATAGATGTGTCTGATTTCACTGTTTTATTCAGTAATGATCATATATAGACTTGGTTTATGGACAGGGAAATGGGATTTTGAGAAAGTAGCCTGCATTCTGTGTGCCAACCAGACGTTACACTAAAATGCGTTTTAAAATGTGTAACTCAAAGAAACTCTTCAGCCTGGCATCTGTTGAGACCGTAGTTAGTTCCCGTGCTGTCAGTCCAGCAGGCCCCAAGGAGGCTGCTCTTTCCAATACCATACTGAGGTTTGGTGAACTTTAGCCTTGGGCATAGAGTTTAAATGAGTAAATTGGGTGTTTTATGTGCATGTAATTTCGCTTTATAATGTAAAGCTTTTTACAAGATGACTGAGTGTTTAATAGACTCTTATAGGTGGGTATTGGAAGGATAATTTTGCATGACCTATATGATGTTTTGATTGTCAATACATTAACTAAATTATAATCTATCACTTTCATTTGCTGTACAGTTTATAATGCTGTTAAGCCTCATGACTACTTAATATGCTTTGTAGCATTAACTTTGATGCTGTTGTCTATTCCCCTCCCCTTTTTTTTCTCAAATTGCCCCACGGGTTAAGTATTTTCTTTTCAAATCATATGTTTTAAAATTCATCTTCTGCTCTAGGGTAAGACAACCAATTTCAGAAAAAGCAGCTCTGTATTATAATCCACATAAAACATTATAAACAGTGTTTTGAATAAGTTAATAATCATTGCTCTCTAATTTTGGCTTTAGACTGTAGTTTAATATAATGGAAAAGAGTAATCTTGATAAAAAGTGGTTAAAAGAGGCACATTTATTGTTAATGAACCTCATAACCAAAAACAGATGGGACCTCGATCAACGGTAAACCTTTAGTTCTCAGCGTGCCACCCTAGAGTACAAGGATAAATAGCCATTATTTCTCAAACTTTATAGTTTTTCAATTGGCATTCTTAAGGTTGCTTTTAAACCTACAGATTGCCATTGCTCCCCCCACCCCCATTCACCTCTTTTCTTGATTATAATGGACAAAGTAATCTATGGTTAAAGAGGGAAGAAATGCTTACAGAAAGGCCATGCTAATACAAGCTGGCTTTCAACAAACACAGATCTCAGTAGCTTCTTTGGTACAATAATTTTTTTTTTTTTTTAAGTACAGGATATGTTGAATTACCAGACAGCTGGAAGAAAGTGGTAATTATTATACTCTTGTTAGCTTTCCTAAATATGATCTCCTTTCCCTTAGTATTGGTGAGTTCCTACACATAAAGTACCATGAAAGTTTATAAAATAATTCTGCTAAACCTGTTCTTATCAGTTCAATTAAAAGTGCATTTTAGAAGTGACTTTGATATTGTACTAATTGCTTTATTATAAACAGTATGAAAATTGATGTCCAATGTATAATGTAACTGAAAACAATTATCTGCTATGTTTTTTCTGAAGTCAATTAAGATGTTGACTTCATTGTGTACCAAGATTATTTTTAAATGCTAGTGACTGTGTTTTACCAAAATCATCAAGATTTTTTTAAAAAGTGAGTTTGGCACTTCAATCTAATATGTATATCACAAAGTATTTTCAAGGTTTTTGCTATTTAAATTAACAGCATTCTATTACTAAGAGACACCTGAATATTAACGCTAAAACACATAAGTTGTAATACTTAAGCACCTGGGGTTTTTAAAGAAATCCTCCATTTCTTTCCATTTTCTTAAGGGTGATGTGATTCAATCACATGTTTGAGCCAGGACTTGACTAGATTTTTAACAGGTCACCTAATTCTTGAAACTTTAACAGTAGAAAACTTTTTCTGTGAATTAACCTGTAAAGCCAATGAGGAGTTTAAAAAGCAGATATTTGCTACCTTCTTTTGATGTGGTATATATATATTTTTTTCCTCGTAAAAATTAAACTGTGTAAAAATGTAAACATGTACATCAGATTTAATTAATATTTTGGACTGTGATAGTCTTTCCATTCTTGATTAAAGTGTTACTATTATGTTCTGTAATGAGTTTCTAATTTTTTAAAAATTGGGACTACATAAATATGTTGTTTTCTTTTTACTATACTTGTGGTAATTCTTGTTCTAAAAGTAAGCCCATTTCCCCCAACTTAGTTTTCTTGGTAGGTGACAAGTTACCTTTTTATTCTAATATGCGTAGCTACAGTTTCCACAAATTATTCTGTTAACTTGAATGGAAATGTAATACTGTTATCTAAAAATACAGTAACATCTGAAGTATATTATTTACCTAGTTAAGCAATTTTACAAGTATGTTGTATTTGCGGAGAGAAATAGCTAGGGATAAAATATTTACTTGGAGTATCATATATAATATATATAGAGAGAGGGTGTGGGAGAGAGAGAGACAGACCCCCATCCAATTATAACATGTCTTCTTTTTAAATTCTGGCAGGTGATCTTTAGAGGGTAACTGAGTATGGATCATTTGAACGAGGCAACTCAGGGGAAAGAACATTCAGAAATGTCTAACAATGTGAGCGATCCGAAGGGTCCACCAGCCAAGATTGCCCGCCTGGAGCAGAACGGGAGCCCACTGGGAAGAGGAAGGCTTGGGAGTACAGGTGCAAAAATGCAGGGAGTGCCTTTAAAACACTCGGGCCATCTGATGAAAACCAACCTTAGGAAAGGTAAATACTTTCAAGCCAAATCCTGGAAAGCTGCAAGCCCTTGTGTCTACTCAAGGCCACTTTGTGTGGGGGTGGAGAGGCAGAACATGTCTTTGTATGTTCTTTTCCTTGATTCTCTTTCTGATGTGAAATTAGTTACATTCCACGCTGCCGTGTCAGTCATGTTTGGAAAGTGTAGGCTCTGTGCTTGACTGGAGCAGCTTACCCTACTATAGAGTGGAATCGTTGGGTGTTTGGATGAGAAGGACTGAGTTAAATATAATGGCCTTCGTTACACAAGGCTTCCATTGACAAGGTGTTATTGTAGTAGGGGATGTGTAGGTGGCTCTTACTTAAACTAACCCCGATTAAGAATAAGACACTTAGATTGTTTGAGGACTGTCTTGGGTTTTTTCAGAGGATTACTAGCTATAAGTCATTTTCAGAGATAATGGGAATCTTATGTGATATGATGTAAAAGTTTTGCGATGTCATTTTTTTTGTGGCTTGTTTTCTTAAGAGCAAATTTATTATTTAGCAGTGAAAAACCTGATGATTCTAGTTTTTGATTTTTGCTATGGTTGGGTATTTTTTGATAAAGGAAGGGCAGACTTAAGCAAGTTTATAAAGGGAAGATACGTAACTGTGACTCCTTTCTACCAATTTTATATTAAATTGATGAAGTTTAACAACTTTGTGTTCAGCACTGCTATTTATGTAGATCAGTGCCTATGCTGGGTATAACGTGTGTGTCTCATAATGTTCTTTATTTTGTCTCTGAATAACTGTGTTTAGGATTCAGATTTTTCCTTATATTTGCTAAGTGAAGGATAAAAATGCCATCTTTTAGCAACCAAGAATATTAAGTAGATAAAGTTAGAAGGCAGAGGAATTTCATTGTGTTTGATGCATAACATTTATCATACAATCATTTATTTTTTTCTTGGTTTGGCGAAAACAAAGAATATATTGATCCCAAAATGAACAGACACAGCAGTCTGTATTGTTAGATCTTTATCTATTAAAAATGGAAAAACAGCACTTCAGCAAATTCTTTGGCCTCTACTCATGATTACCCTATTTATTGATTGTTTGCCAAGAATGTATGCATCTTAAGAAAGCCAGGGTAAGAGCATTAAAAATATAATTTATTATGGCTTTTCAAACCAAGTGCATTAATATTGTACTGTGAAGCACTGGGGCTCTATAAAAAAGACTTTCTGACGCCTGCAAACATATAAGTTCCATAAATTCCTAAATAGGAGATTTCAGCTGTCTCTGGTATTATGTGATATTTGCACAGCAAACTTTAATGCCAGGACAGTTTTAGACAAGGATTCTACAGACTTCACTGCTCCTTATGGCAGACGTGCTGTTTACACAGGCTCATAAACCTTCAGCAAAAGCTTCTAAGACTGCCTCCAGGTTTAAATCATGTGGTATTTTTAGCATTCAGCAGTGACCAGTGCACTCCCCTTTTAATGCTGGAAGGTTATGAAGTTGCTGTAGTTGGAAGTCTCGCCAAACACTAGCACAAATAATCAGACAGTTCAGAGAAGGCTCCTGTTCAGCATTACTCCAGTATCAGGAAGGCAAGGGTGACAAGTTTGCTAGAAGGTTTAGCAGCCAGATTTGTCATTAAATGATTCTCTTGTCACTTTCTCAGTAGCCACCTTAATTGTCTATAGGGTATCTCTAAATAAAGTCTGAAGTAAGTCCAGTATGTTTTGACAGTTTTGCAAAACCTATAGTTATTTCCATAGGTCTAAGGAGCATATAGTACAACACGTCTGTATCATTCTGTAAGAGGAAAAATCAATGCGTATGTTTTTGTTGTACTAACCCAACTCTTTGAAGCCATCAGAACAGGGGGAGGAGAAACCAAAGTACAGTAATTTCACTTCCTGCTCAAATTTTTTTTTAAACATTGCTTTCATAGTGACTTATTTTAAAAATTTTACTTTAATTGTAGGAGGTTCTCAGCTTGCTTCAAACAACAAAATTGCTAAAGCTTTTTGGTGGTGGTGGTGGTGGTGGTGGTGGTGTGTGTGTGTGTGTGTGTGTGTGTTTAATCTTATTTTTCATTGCATGGTTTCTGTTTGACAGGTGCTAGATAAAAATTGTGGCTGAGATGAGAAAGCGCTACTTAAGAAAAAGAGGTTGGGTGTTTTTGTTTATTTGTTTAGGAAATTTTGCCAAAGTACCTTCAAGCCAAGGAAGAAATCACCAGTTTGCATGTTGCTATTTTTGCTGTGGTCTTCCCAAGTCTTCTTCTGATCCCTGACAGGTTCTCTCTCTGGTATAAAACAGATGAATGAATGACAAGAATACTGGCAAGCTCTGCGGCTTGTTTTTCATGCCTAGCCTGTTGGGTACCTCTGAATGAGTTTGTGAGCTTTTCTAAGTAAACCTAAAGGGGTTTATTTGTCAGAGCTAGAATCTCTAGTGAACAGTTCACGAAGGCTTTGGTGAGGATGCACATGTAAAAAAATGTAGCTGTTTTACTGCCAGCTTTTGTTCAGCATAAACAAGAAAACAGAGCCTTTTTAAAGGGCATCCCTAGTGTCAGGAGGAAATCCTGATTTTGAGCTCTGGTTGGTATGCACTAGAAATCTCCAGAAGTTGGTAGGATTCTGTGAGTCCAGAGGGCAGAGACTTATAGAGGCATTAATGTTATAGGACTAATTGGGGATCTTGGGTGCCCTGTTAAAGTAACCCTTGTCATCATTTATGCTAAAGATGATACCCTCCTGGCAGTTTGCCACAGTACAGTTCAGATGCATCTGCTTTTAACCCTTTTCCGTATATCACTGGGAGTCTGACAGTGCGCTGCATAAACACCTTGAGTAATACAGCATTCCATGATTTCAGTTTCTAGAAGCCTCTTTTCTACCCGTGGTGTAGCCTGTGCTTATTAATCATCTGGCTACTGAGTTATTACATTGGATTAAAGTAAATAGAGAACACATCAAATCTATGCAGATTCCTTTATCCTCATATGTCCTTCTGAGGCCACTTTCCTTTTCTCTCTCTCATAACATGCAACAAAGATTGTTCATTTTCAAGACCTATGGTTGCTGTGGTATCTTTTTAGTCAGGTAGATTAAATGAGTGGCCATAAAAATAAATCTTATTTACATTATGCACATATTGAAATCATATATTTTGAGCATCAGTTTGGTTAAGTTTGGTGTTTCTTTTATGGAACTGTTAAGTAAAGGTCTTCAAAAAGGAAGAAAATGCTAAAAATATTAGAGTCAAAGATAATTTGGACACAAACAGGAGAAGTTTAATATTAACAAAAGCCTGTAGAAAGCATGAAGATGGGTTCTTCTGAAGACAACTGTAGTGAGTTACATTTGCACCCTGTATACCACTCACAGCAGATCAGACAAGACACTTCTCTCTCGTCAGCATTATTATTTGATCAAAAAGGTAATTCTGCATTAAGTGATTTTGGAAAATGTACTGCTAATACGAAAGCAGAGCCCAAGTTACGTTAGGACCAAGTTCACATTCTATTTAAATAGAATCTCTTACAACTTTAAACAATAAAAGAGTGTGTATATGTTTGTGTGTGTGTGTGCTTGTATTTCTGTGCCCTGTCTGCCTTGGAAACACAGTCTCCCCTTCTCTCACTGTTGGGAAGATTTATTTTCATGGTTTAGTTTTCCCTCCCCCCAGATTGTATTTCTGAAGATTGTTGGTTTGCGTCTCTTTTTCTCTGTCTCTTTGATAGGAACCATGCTACCAGTTTTCTGCGTGGTGGAACATTATGAAAACGCCATTGAATATGATTGCAAGGAGGAGCATGCGGAGTTTGTGTTGGTGAGAAAGGATATGCTTTTCAACCAGCTGATAGAAATGGCATTGCTGTCTCTGGGTTATTCGCATAGCTCTGCTGCCCAGGCCAAAGGTAAATAATGCATACGTGGGGTTGGAAAAATTGCTTGGCATCCTTTGTTTACTTTGCAGAGAAAGCACTGAATATTTTTATTCAAAGAACTGTAGCCTGTGTGTTACATTGGTTCCTTATAGACTGTGGGTTTAAAAAATTGGCTTAATTCAGTTTGGTTTAGTTAACACACATTTTGCTCGTGTGGAATGTCGAGGTAGATTTTTTTTTTAAATTACTTCAGCTGAATCATTAGTATGCTTATTGACCTTAATAATCTGCTCCACTGAGGACCCACAAGGAAGTGAGGAGCGTATTTGAGCAGATGGACTGTTGAGAGTCAATTTGCATTTATGACTGAATATCTAGTTCTGTTTCTTTTATTCTGTTTCTGATGGTTTTATGGGCTGTAAAGTATTTTTCAATGCTGATTCCCATTGCAATAGAGAATCTTATCTAAATCGTAAAGCCATTTAGAACTGGTTCAGCTATGTCTTATTAGAACTTCCTGTAAGTTAGGAAAATGTGGCCTATGCATAGGTTTTATTGATGGGGTTTTATTTCCAAAATAATAAACAACCCTACAGTCATTTACATAATTTCACAATCTGGAAAGCTAAGCTGTGAATATTTTCATTGACCTGCCTTTTAGAGGGAAGGGAATCATTCAAACAGAAATAACAATATTGCTTGTGGTGGGGGCAATGAAAAAAACCACCACCACCACCTTCTACTAGAAATATTATCTGAAAGGTAAAATATTTAGTGACATATTCTCTTTATCTGGAATAGGGCTAATCCAGGTTGGAAAGTGGAATCCAGTTCCACTGTCTTATGTGACAGATGCCCCTGATGCTACGGTAGCAGATATGCTTCAAGACGTGTATCATGTGGTCACATTGAAAATTCAGTTACACAGGTGAGTCAGGACAGCAGTTCTAGGGCAAAACGTTCTATGTGCCTGATCTTTTGAAATAAAGCATCTCTGGTCAGCCTTTGATTTTTATTTACTCTGTGTTTCAGAAAGGTTAATCCAAACTGATTTTATTACTTTACTCTTTCTGCTTTATTTTTCTAACTTCAGGGTATATTTAAAAGCAGCCTCCCTCTGCTCCCCCCCCCCACCAAATTTGTAGGTTTTGTGCAGGATATCAAAAGACAAGACTTTTTATATTTAGTCAATTAAATGATGCATTACAAGAAGGCATTTTACATAAAGTTTACTTAAGAGAAAAATATTTTTGCATATCATGAACAGTGCCATCTGTGTACATTTTGTGAAAGAGTGCCTTATTCACTATTGCCGCAATCTTATTTATTTATATTTTTTTACCATTTTAATTCGTATGAACAGAGTCATGAGAGGAAAACGGTTAATACGTTAATGCTTTTCACGATGGCTCGTGAGAAAGCAGTACACCTTAAATTGTCTTCCCAAGCGCATCAGAGCAGGAAGGTAGAAGTAACATGAAAAAATAGCCACCACAGGCAGCTGATGTATAATTCATGCATCGATACAGCAGATGTGTTGTATAAAGTAATTAACTAATCGGAACAATCAGGAGACCGAGAGCAATCTCCAGATGCATCTGTTTGATGCGCAAAATGAAATCTGTCTGTCTTAAAGGAATGTTCTGCAGCGGGATGCAATCTTGTAATAATCCCCTTTCTAATCTATGTCTCAAATAGTTGCCCCAAACTAGAAGACTTGCCTCCCGAACAATGGTCGCACACCACAGTAAGGAATGCTCTGAAGGACTTACTGAAAGATATGAATCAGAGTTCGTTGGCCAAGGAGTGCCCCCTTTCACAGGTACTTAGCATAGCATGTAATAAATAATAAGCCATCATGGGCAGCCCTGATTTGAAGTTTCATGGGGCTCCATAGTCTAAAGCAACTGGTATCTGAAGCAAGACTGTCAAAATTGCAAAGTGTCTTGACCACTGGTGACTTTAAACAGTATGCCTCATTTATTCTAAACAGAGCCTTTACCCTTTTTCTCCCTTGGGGAAAAGAGCAAAGGAAAAACAGTTCCGCAGAAGACTGCTAGCTTGTTTTTAGATTCCTCTTCTGAGTGCTCTGATCATGGAAGCCGCATTCTCCTGAGTGCCCTAATTTGAGAAAGAGTAAAGGTGGTATTAACTTTCAGGAACCTTTGGTGACTGGGAATGTCAGTGAGAGTGTTAATATAAAACTTCGCCATGCTACCTGAATAAAATAACAGTATGGTTTTGGGATATTTTGTTCATTGCAAAAAGGGGGAGAAAAGCATTTAGTATAAGCAATTATAAAAAGAAGTTTCTTCCCTGTAACTAAAGATTGAGTAATTTTTGGGGGGATTTTGTCACCAGTTTTGTGGCATTGGTTTACTTTTTTTGTTTTGTTTCTTGGTGCAATCTTTTTTTTTTTTTTCACTGAGATTCCTGTCCTATCATCAGAGATTCTTGAAATGAGACAAAGATTTATTATTATTGTACTTGATATTTTAGAATGAATTTTAGTGAAGCGTAACTAAAACTCTCGATAGAGACTGCCCCTGTCTCTAAATTTAAAACCAAACATCATTTTTGATAATGCTCAGCTGACTTCACATAGAAAAGGGTGCTGTGAACCTGCTCTTAATGGGCTGCTTGTGTAGTCACTACATAATTGTGTTAGAATGCCATCCCTCAGTGTCAAACCCAATGTGAGGTCATCCCATGATATAGTATAATTCAAGTACGATCTAACCGGATTTTTACCCCGTTTCAAAGTTCTTCTTTTATTTCAAGTTCAAAATGTAATTCTGAATGTTAGTCTGTCAGTCACTTGAATATGAACTGTATGATTTTGCTATAAACATTTCTGCAATTGAGATATTCTCAAAATGTATTTCCAGTGCGATGCTCGTGAGGGTACCTAGTACCTTTGGAAGGAAGCTTTGTGGGCTTTTTTGCTGCTGTGTTATGAAAACTCCATGCATCTCAGGCTACAGTCCAACAGTTTTACTTTGATATTTGTTAACAGTGGTCAGGAATAGAGCAAATGAATTAAGTCTTTAGTTAATTATGGCATTCTATATTCTTTTAAGGTAAGCTATAGTCAGGTAAAATATTTTCTATATCGCAAGTGTCAGTTTCTTGGAATTCAGGGCAAACGCTCTTTGTCATTTTAGCTTATTTCCTTCTATCTTCACTCTCTCACCCTTGGAGTAGAGAGGATGTGAATTTATAACCATCGAATAAAAGTAATTTAAATTAATTAAACACAGTTAAATCAATAGGATGATATAATGAAGCAGGTGACTCTTACATCTGGGACTTTGGGTTTTGCAGACAACTTCAGATAATATGTCACTTGGTTGCTAGCATTTGAAAATTTGAAATGTCCTAGAAATAAACTTTTTTTTTTTTAAAGCCAGAGTTAAGATACACATAAACACCCAGTACAGGAATGCCGTGTATCTACGTGTTGCTAAATGTCCCATTGATTTTGGAAGTAAATTCAGGCAAAGATTTAAGGCATTTACCGTGACCTGGAGAAGACGATGCTAGTATGAGTATTTACTGATAGAAGCAGTGAGAATTAATTGTTAAATGACATCAACATTCAGCCAGTAAACTCCACCTCACTATAGCTTCTAAATATAATTGTGAGTTTACTTAATGTTATCATGGGAAATGAATTGAATACAGACAATTATAACATTAAACAGAATGACAAAATGAAATTCGGGGCTTGGTTTTAGAGTCCTACATTGGTGAATTTCTGTAGAGAGGCCTTTGGAGGAACGTGCATCTGTGTGTAGCTGGAGACCCTGCAGTAATCGCTGAGTGGTGGAACCAGGCTGTAACTTCAACATCAGTTATAATTACAATTGTCTTTTCTTTAAAAATATCTTTTGAAAAAACTATGTCGTTTACCAGCAGCAACAAATATTTGAAATTAATTTAATGTTTAATATTATGAAAAAATGCAACCTGTTCTTTTAAATGAGTGAGCTATTTTATACTCTGCTGTGTCATCTTTTGTTTCTTTCTCTAGAATGAGTCCATGACTCTTGGTACTCAATGCAGAATGTTTTAATAATGAACTATTTTCCATTCGCTTCTTTATTTTCTTTTCTGTCATAAGTTATTAGTTAAAGCAGAGAAATCCAGGCTCTGTAAGGCCTAAGCGCAAAATATATGCTGAGCTTGGCAAAACTACTCTTTCTTTCCCCTGTGGTTGAGAGAGAGTGATGAAGATGGCATTGTGAAAAATGCCTAGCAAAAAAATATTGCCTCAGTCTTATACAAAATGGAACCTACCATCAAGAAATGCCAACTCTTAAGACTTGTTTTACCCCTCTGTGGAGTTTTGATTTATTCACTTGAGAATTTTGAACATACAATCTAGCATCCACATTTTGCTGTACATTAAGAGTTTTGTTTAATATGATAAAATACTTCAGTAGCAAGTATAGCTATGAGTCCCTTACTGTTATGCTGAGCAGAATGTCCACCCTGCAGACCTCAGTTCAGCTCCCTCTACAGAGTAGAGGCTGGGAGAGAATACCAGTGGGAATCCAGCATGAATGTGCCTGGGGTATCTGACAAGCCTGCCTCCAATGCTCTTAGGAGGATTGCCCACACTTGCTGGGCAGATGTCCTTGGAATCTTAGAACTAAGTTTTATCCTACCCAGACTCCTCCTTGGACAGATGAAGGAGCCAGTGGCCCTAGAGATTAAAGTCAAAATGCTGGTCAGTGACCGACCCAAAAGTCCTTTCCCAGTGATAAATTTTAGAGTGTGTTGATTTCAAAATGAATACTTATGTTGTCTTTCCATAATGTCTGATAATATTTGCAAGGTTTTCTCCAGATGCAGGAACTCCATAAGGGTGCATGTGGTTTGATTTGTAACTATGCCCTTATTTCTGTTACTGCTTTTCTAAATCGTAAATCTGCCCACATAGATTGACATCCATCTATTAAGTTTTTGTACCACGTGTTTATTTTTGTAAAAACCTGCTAAGACACAAACACTTAGCTCCTTACAGATCTGAAGTTGGTCACTTTCTTGTTACTCTCACTTTTTTCAGTGGATGTGGTTGGATAAGGTGGGCGTTGTGTTTTGAACTGCAAGTAAGGAAAGAATAAATCTAGCTTGGGGACAAGAAAGCCTGTGGTCATGAGAACATTAAGAGTATGGATTCGGGAGGTAAATGGGGAGTTAAATAAAGTAAACATTTTGATTTACAATAAAGCATTTCATTTTCATTTTAGTTTTCCCTGAAGTTTTAGAAATTGAACTTAAGAACTGGAGAAATATATATACATTCAGTATAAGGATAGATTCATTTTATTAAAAGTACCATAAGTAAAAGGTCAGTTATTACTTCTCCCAGCCTAACGTCTTTCTTCTAAAAATGTTTAGGTCAGATAGTCCTGAGAAATTTTAAATCTGATAGGTACATTTTTCCCACCCCTCCTCCACCACACACATGTGCACATACTCACACATTTTTAAGGCACTGGGTCACTTTCTATTTCCTTTCTCACCTGGGGAAATGTAGCTCCAGGCCCAAGTCCCACATGAAGTAAGTGAGAATCGTCATTTTTATTTTCAAGCAGTAAAACATATATAAAATATATTTAGGTTTGAACGTTCCATTTAGAAGTCATACTGAGTAAAATCATTTTTCCTTTTCCTTTTCCTGACAGCATCTAAGAATGTAATATATGTGAGACATTTTATTAGGTATTGGAAAAACAGGTAAACCACCCTGCCCTCTGGAAGCTTACCATTTAACCATGCTGATTCTAGGATACTTGACAGTCATTGCCATAGACATTTAATAAACCTCTGTGCTCAGTTGATTTTCAGTCTATATGATGCAGAACACCAGAGCAACAATTTAAAAATCCCTATCAGTTATGCTGTAAATATATGTTTTTTAAACTGCACTTTGCATTATTGTTTCATAGTTTTTAGACTGAGATAACATTTCTGAAAATTTTAAAATAAACATCAGTAATCACTTCTCTCGCGAATATCCAACATCAATATTCATATATTGTATTTCACGTGAGAGTCTAACCCTATGAAATTTATTCACATATTCACATACTTATTCATTCAAAAATATGTATTGACAGTCTGCTATGTGACAGGCATCCTATTTCCTATGTAGTAATAAGGATGATACACTTTAATAGTTGAAATAATAATAACTTTTATTTAGTGCTTTTGATGTATCATGGGCAAATCTATCACCCTAAGCAGTATATAGTTTGTATCCCATTCTCAGTTGAGGAAACCTGAGGCGTAGAGTGTTTAAATGAGTCTTATAGTTACACAGCTGGTAAAGCAGAGGGATGAGAATTCATACCCAGAGCCTGTGAGCTTAACCAAATATCCTTCTTGGTCACATATAGATGACGGACTTTTTTTTTTTTTTTTTTAAGGCTTTCTCAAATTAATTTGATGTGGTTTATAAAATACTTCCTTTTCCCTGAAGTACTGATAACTGCTTACAGTTTTCCAATTGCATTTATTCTCACTGCTGAAATTTTTCTTTAGCATATGGGATTTGATTCTGTTATTTGTACATTGACTTCCTTTAAAGGTATCGTCGTTCCATGCCCCTAGTTTAGAGGTGAGAGGGAGTTCAGACCACAGGGACTGACTTTTGGGATAATCTGGTATTTGGGAGATTCCAAAAGGTTTGAGTTTAGCAGCTCTGTGGCAGTCACTTCCTCCCACGTCCTGTCACATTCATCTGGATCAGTAGGTATAATTGAGCTACTAGCCCTTTGTTTTGAGCCCCAAGACAATGTTAGGCATTTGCAT